AACATATGACATCCCACAAAAGAGACAAAAATTTAAGTATACACATCGTCGCATTTACCCGTTGTAACAGCCTCAAAGGAGTCCTCAAATCGATGAAAGAACATTATAATCAGATTCTCTGACCACGAAAACCCCAGTTGATCAGGAAAGCGAGCTCTGAGTGGTCTGGAGCAAAAGGTGCAACTGAACCTGGAGATCCGCCTTCGTACTCGCTAGCAGGAGCGAGTCATCTAGATAGACGAAGAGGGGCAGGCCGCGATTCCTCAAAAACCTGGCCAGCGCATGAAACCTGAAAAACAGGGAGAGACACAGATGTTGATGGTCCCTCACCCTCTCTATAGTGCCCTTCTCCAGCAGCAACTGTATCTTGGCCGAGATATGCTGCCGAAAAAGGGCAGATAAGGCCGGCGGATAGATATGAATCACGCCGTGTTGGAAAGGCTCTACAAGCCTCGGAAATCACTTCGCGAGCGGGAAGGAAGAACCAAAGCGTCCGCCAACCTTGTGATCCTTGGCCCGCATCAAAACGCGTGCCAAGGCCGGGCCGTAGCCCTGCCGCGGACAGGACGCCCCTCTCTATCCCTGAAAGAGCCTCTCCCTCAAGATGGCCCAAAACCGCCCCTGGGCTGAGGAACAACCCGCGCTGTCACAGAAGGTGGTACCTGCACTACTCTACGTTGATAAGGAGTCTTTACCTTTTGCTAAAGCGGCTGGGGTTGCCTTTAACAATCTCCGCCGCCTGCTTCCAAGAGTCCAGCTCGCTTTACAAAATTGCCGCGAACTGGCCTCCGAAGAGGTGTTCCTCTGAAGAGGGCACCCCCGCCAACAGAGAGGGGACGTCTCTCTTTGAAACCCCTAAAGCGGAGAGAGCAAATTCTCTCCGGAGATTCGTTGCCTGGGCAGCCCCTGAAGAGAGCTGTGTCCATCAAAATCTCGTCCAAGATCATCTTATCAGCCTCGGAAACGGTAAGCTCCCGAGTCCTGACCCTTAGGGTTAGAAGCGGCCCCAGTTAAGCTGTCAATCTGACACCTGATTTTGCCTGTACCTCACTTGCCTGTCCTGGCTTTTCTAAAGTCTGGTACTGGCGACCTTTAAAATTGACGCCCAGTCTTGCCGCCAAACGAGTCAGGTCGGGCGAAAAAGATTTGGGCTCAAAGAAACCAAGAATGTCTGGAGACCTAAATGCAAAATCCTTGCAAACCAACTTTGGAGATGACTCTGCAGCTACATTCTTGTATGCTGTCTTGAAGTCGTCCGTCAATGGAGTCCCTTTAGAAGGAGTATCCAGACGGAAGAATCCTGAAGCCTGGGCTCCCTCCGACTGGGTTGGAGTGAAGGTCCCAGGCAAGTACTTAGTCAGCAGTGCCTGAGCATCTGCTGTCAACCCCCGAGGTACTTGGAGGCCAACACTGGCCATGAATTCCTGATCAGAATCTGCATCTTGGTCCCCAAACTCAACTTCGTAGGGAGCCTGGCTCCAAGGGGGCGGGCACACCCACAGACTAGACGACTCCTCACCGGGAGGGGCGCCTAGCGCCACCAGTATAGGAGGTGCGGCACGAGCCAGGTGGCTCTGAACCTGCAGAGGTTGCTTGTAACCAGGCATGGTCTGAAAACCGGGGAACGGGACCTACAAGTCCGGATACCCTACTCGAAAATCCAGCGTTTGGATCCGGTAAACCAGAACCTTTACGACACAGATATCCGGATCGAGCCGGGAAACCGGGACCGGGTTGGACCAGTAATCCGGAGTCGGTTTGGATGGTAAACCGGGGTCGGAACCGAAACCGTGACAGGCCGGCAAGCCGGTATCGACCGGATCTGACCAAACAACGAGACCGGAATGAACCGGATCGGTGTTTGGGTTGTCTGAGTCCACGGACCGTACAGAGTCAGGGGGCATAGCCAACCCGCTCTTCTCAGAAAAAAGCAATTCTGACTGATCGACCACCGAAGGGGAGGGAGTGGGAGCCTCCGCAGAGGACGCACTCTTCTTCCCAGTCTTAGCCTTTGGCTTCGACTTCGGTTTGGTCTGAGCATTGTCGGGCGTTCCCTCGACAGGAGGGTTGGACAGTCTCTTACGACTCCCAACCTGTCTGTGACGGGAAGAAACCGGCTTCTGAGGATTCAAGGCTATATCGAGTACAGCGAAATCACTCAAATTGCATGTGTCACTGGCTAAAGCAGAGTGTCAGTGGCCGCAATGGTGACACTCTTCCCCAGAACATGAGCGTCAGTGTCTAATGTGCGGTGAGGGCTAGTGATCGGTTCGCCCCCTTGCCGGGAACGCGGGTCCCAACAATGGATGTAATACCAAGCCCGACAGAAGTGAAGTCGGCAAACAGTAAAGAACTTGTCCGGGAGACGCTAGGAGCACTCCCTAGCTTACTCGCAGACACACTGAATGAACGAGTAGTCCGCTTGTCGAACACACCTCCAGCAGCTGTAATAGCTGGCTGGGAGACGCGGGTACCAGGTAACGACGTATCCATCCCGAACCTGTATCCAAAGGAAAACAAACAGAGAAACACCAGACAAAGGGAGCGAGAGCGATATAAACTCCACGCTCACTTTTATTTCAAGCCCAACAGTTTCAAATAAAATGTTTCGCAAACTACACTCAACAGCATGCACGAAGAAATAAAAAACAAACAATCAAGAACCGACAAAAGGTCGCGCCGCAGAAGCGATGATCCGCAAAGCGGAACAATCTAAGGAGGGAAGTTACAGTGAAGGGTGGTGAATAAATTAACCACCTAATCATACGTAAGAAATCCCAACCAACAAAGGCTGTAACGACCAGGACCAAACGCCCTTACCCAGCGGCGTACCAAAGCCTGGAATTTACGGTCGTGAAAGAGGAAATTTGTGGAGCAGAAATGATAGTCAAATTTGATGTGATGCTTTTTTCACAGATCTACCCAAACTTATTCCAGATTCTAAGGATATTTGTGAAGGGAAAGTTACAGAGAGGGAATGTATGGCAGTTTTGAAAGAAATGAACTTTTATAAAACAAGTGTTGAATTTTATTCATTATTTTGGATGGTAATAGGAGACGTAGTGGTTGATACTTCAAATGAATGTTTTTGTGAGGGTGAACTGTCCCACTCACAAAAACAGGCAGTAACTACTTTAATTCATAAAGAAGGCAAAGTCCTGTTACAAATTAAAAACTACACACCCATTTCCTTACTTAATGTGGACTACAAGATTCTAACCAAAGTTCTTTCAACAAGAATTTAAAAAGTATTACCAGAAGTTATTTGGATTGATCAGGTGGGACATCTTAAGGGCAGAAAGGTGAGGCAATTCGGTTAATTAATAATAATAATAATAATAGCTAGTTCTTATATAGCGCTTTTCAGGACTGAAGGCCCTCTCAAAGCGCATTAAAGATATAAATATTATTACCCCGGTCATCGGATTCAGGCTTACCGGCACACAATGTATGAACATTCTCCACTCCCTGGGGAGCATTCCAGCCAGGCGTCATTTTTACAAGTGCACACTTGCTAATCTAAGCACATTAGCTTTCGCATCCTACCGGGTACCCATTTAACACCTGGTTGGAGAGTGGCAAATGTAGATCAATGTCTTGCCAAAGGACATTAGTGCTGTGGTGGGACTTGAACCGCGGACCTTGTGATCCTCAATCCGGTGACATATCCACTCATCCACGACATAATGTTTCATACAACTCAAAATAAAGTACCTGCTTATTTGTTAGCAATAGATTTTGAAAAAGCATTTGACTCGGTTTCACACGTGTTTTTACAAAAGGTCTTAGTAGCCTTTGGTTTTGGACCGACATTTTGTAAATGCATGAAAATAATTTATAAGAATGCTCAAAGTTGTGTTTTCAATGGAGACGTATCGACTGGATATTTTTCTATTCCGAAAGGTGTGAGACAAGGTGATCCTTTGTCTGCCTATTTATTTTTACTTTGCATTGAGATTCTTGCTAGCGCAATTCGCAGCGACTCGGCTATTCATGGGGTTCCCTTTGATGATAAATAGACCCCCAAATCCTTAAGAAATTTAAAAAAGAATTATAGAAAATAGGCAAGAAGAATAGGAATTAGCAGGGGAGAAAGGCACTTTAACACTTCACTTCAGAAAATGGGACAACTTCCACAGTTAAGGATGGCGAGGCAAATACTTCTTTCTCAGACTCAAACATTTTTATATAATTTGGTCATAAGGAAAAGGAAGAGACAGAATTTCCAACAAATGTGTAGATGTGACTGCTCGGGAAGGGAGGGGGATTTGTTAAGCTTTGGAATGAAGGGGGGAGGGGGATAGGTATGTTTGTATGTTGTCTGAGTATGTGAGCGTGTGTGGTGTGTCTGTCTGTCTGTGTGTAAGGCTTTGATTTATAATATTTATTCAGTATAATTAATTTGAAAACATTATGTACTGTGTATTAAACTATATTATGTTTTTTCAGGAATGCACAATTTTCTTTATATTTTGATATGTTATGTAAACCAATGAAGATGTATGTTTTTTAATATTTTGTACTGAATGAATACAATAAAAAAAAAATGCTACAAAACAAAAAAGGCCACCTCTGGGCCAAATGTGGTGCTTTTAGAAGAATCTGCCCCAAAATATCTCTAACAGCCCCTACTATAACAAATGTTTTTTAAAGTCAGAATGTATAAAGTTAGCCTCAAAAAACTTTTCACGCCATTCTATGGGCCAACTGTTAATGTTCATAAATTCTCAAACCTAAATTGGACTCGGGATTCATGTGGGCTATATTCTACAATGTATGCGAGCACGTACAGGAGTATTGACTAGTCCACTTACAAGTCATTTTTACATTAATTGAGAGTGTATTGAACTTCAAATTTATTGAAGTAATATTTGAAGCTCAATGAACCCTCAACATCCAGAGCAATATATTTTGGGTGATTGGTACACTTTAGAACAATGATATTTAATATGTGTGGGGCAATCTAAAAGGGACGAAGAAAACAAATTAATCTTACTTACCACGTTATTAGCTAGCCACTGGCGAAATTCGTACCTATACTTAGCCATTTGTTCGTCATACAATTTAACTTCCTCAGCGATCCCAGTTCCTACCATTTCTGTATAAAGGGGGAAAGTAATATAATAATTAAGAAAGGTCTCAAAAATATTGTGGCATTGTACATGTATGTTGGTAGAGAGTTCATGATTGTAGGGCAGGAACAAAAAAAAACATACATGTGTATATATATATATATATATATATATATATATATATGTATATTTTGATATTCAAAAGAGAGATTGAAATTCTTTATAGAGTGGCAAAATGTAATGACCGAATTAATTACTGTTGACATGTACACGTCACATGCACAGATGAAACCAACTTATTTTTAGTCCTACAAAACAGCAATTCTGTACATGAAAACATGTTACAGAAATGTTAAACTCCCCAAACAGCTACATGTAACTGATGGACAAATAATATACAGATTGACTGGGAGGGTGTTTATTAAATATAACATTTTTTGGACTGCAAAAGGAAGTTATATTTTCCCCAAATATGCAAATTACTATCCTCGCAATCGATATCATGTGACATGCTTTAGACCAATCTCAACTTTGTTTCTGTAAGAGCTTTCTCACGACGAAACTCTTTGTTTGAAATTGAAACCTCCATTTGACTTTCACTTGTATGTAGGTCTACTTTATTATATTATCTCAAATAGAATTTAGAATTCTCTTATTGACAAGTTAAGAACACCTACGATGATCTTGATTGTAGTTACTCTCATTTTGCCAGCAGCCGACCTAGCGTTGTTTTGGCAAAAAGCTAGCAGGCCAGCTTCCTACCGCAAACCTTTCGAGTCCTGATAACAGACCGTTCATGTTCTGCCGAGAGTGTGGCAGAAGGTTTGTGTGTGAGGTGCGATTTCGATTCGGGATATACTTGCCAAGTCCTTATGACTTTCAATGTTCGTGAAATTGATGATTTATTTATTCATTTGCTCATCAATATTTTTAGTTACTTTAAAATACTGTTTAATGTGCAAGTTGATGTTCTCAATCAATCTTTCTTGTTGATCTTGTTACGATTAAAAAGTTATTAAATTCATCGAAGACTCTATTCGCATTATGAAATTAACATTGTATCTTTGAACTTATTTAACTTTTGGAATTTGTTGTCATTATCTGCTGTTTTTGGAAAATTGTCCCTGGTTCTTAAGAAATTGCCCCTCGCTCTGGTTAATCCCAGTGGGCAAGGGGAAACTTTTAAAAATAAATTGCCGCTTGCTCCTGGTTGCTTAATCCAAGGCTTGCTTGACACATCATCTAACAACACCCTACAAATACAGTATCAGGTAAAATACACAGACACTAACTTGAATCGTCTGTAGCAACGTTTACAGTAACATTGAGAACAATGATGCTGTCCAAGGGGCTGGAAACGGTGATAATGCCATTGATATTGTCCTGAAGGGCAGTTATCTCACAGAGGACATGTAGGAATTCCCTCTTTCCTGCCCCGGTGGACTTCAGGACTTGCTGACTGCACTTATGATTCTCCAATCCCCCTGAGAAGGTTGCATTTATATCAGAGCCAGCAGGTCCCTCAAAGAGTTTGAAGATTTGGATTCTGGCATCATCAAAGATGATAGGGAAGGTGAAATTGGAAACATCTGGTGATCGATCAAGGATCTTCAAATCTGCTGGATGAAGACAGATGCATAATAATATGAAAAGAATAGCCATCTCTCTATAGTCACTTGGTCACATGATGAAGACAGAGGCATAATAATATAATTTACATGCAACTATCGTATCATATTTCATTTTTTAATAATCATGGCTTGTCTTTTATATAAATATCCTTGTTATTGTCTGTTTTTGTTTGGCAGCCATTCAAGAGATTGACAATTTGTCTGAGTGACCAAGGTCAAACTTCCTTTGACCGAAGTCCTAGAGACAAACTTCAAGGGCTCTTAAGATGACATCGTGAAAAGGTGGAAACTGTGTCAGGTGCTTGTTTCAAGATGGAGTGGTATTTTTAATATCCTGGCATGAAAAATATGGTGTTAGCTCTAGAGATTTCATTTTTTTATATTGCAATTAATATAGGAGGCGCGATAGCTCAGTCGGTAGAGCAGTGGTCTCGGAATCCGGTGACCCGAGTTCGAAAGCAAGGCGATGCGCTAGTGCCCTTTGGTAAGGCATTAATCCTTATTACCAGGTCCCTCAGAGAGGACCTAAAGCTGTCTGCCTTCTGGTTGCTTACTAAAAAGCATTTATGCTTTCTTAGCAGTCAGGTAAAATAACAACCACCACATTTGTGTAACAAATTGTCAATCTCTTGAATGGCTGCCAAACAAAAACAGACAACAACAATGATATTTATATAAAAGTACAAGCCATGATTATTAAACAATGAAATAAGATACGATAGTTGCATGTAAATTGTCATACAAATATAAAAGAATGCTTTAGGCAATCCATTGTTGCCACAAATGATGTGTACGTGAGTACTAAATGGACAAATTCTGATAAGAGTCATGTTTGCGAGTTCTTCATTTTTGATCACTTTATTTCATCATGATTATCAGGAACCGAAATACATGTATATGAAAAAATGTGCAGCCTTTTGGCAGCTTCTTCCTTTTTCTCTTCTTTCTTTCATTTGCTCCTTTCCTTTCTTTTCTTTCTTTTCCTTTCATTACTCTCCTTCCTCTTTTTCTTTCATCTCTTCTCTTTCCTTTCTTTCCTTTCGTGTCCTTTTCTTTTCTTTATTTTCTTACATACGATGTCAGGGTATGAAGCAGTCACATCACAGTATATAACTTATATGAAGATCAGGAAAATGCCACATAGCATCTTTAGTCACAGGATATAACTATCATCAAGGCTGATCTTAATGCTAACGTTGGTCATGATAGAGCTGATGACACTATGAATATGACTGACAAAGAAAGCGGACAAAATATACAGTTCCTCAGGTAGACAAAGGAACATCCCTTCACTGCTATTATGTAAAAATGTGTAGAACAGGTGTCACATGCATATTCACCTTTTTACGTAATAGCAGTGAAGGGATGTTCCTTTATTTACCTGAGGAACTGTATATTTTGTCCGCTTTCTTTGTCTGTCATGTTCATAGTGTGAAATAGTAGGACCCCATGGACTTGGAACCAGAAATGAAAGAGAAAAGATATGGAGAGAGTGGTGTACAATTCACCATCAGCTTATTTCAAATGCATGGTTCACATCCGAGACGACTGTGGACTTGGGATTTGGAAAAGTCCAGGCAACAGAACCAGAAACTAGATTGACTACATCCCAGTATTAAAGCAGGAGATTTCGAAACTCCATACGACAAGCTCACAGATATCCAGGAGCTGACTGCTAGAGCCACCATGTGCTCCTCATCTGTCACATGCATTTCAGGCTTTTAGAAGTTGAAGAAAACGGAGGCAAGCCAGAGATTAGAACTGAACCTTTTGAGGACAAAGAACTAAAGCATAAGTACAGAGAGAGTGCAAAATGGGTTCAGGATGTTTAATACAAGTGGAAGGAGAGAATGAGTCTCAATGGCAAAGGCTTTCTGACGGTCTCCAAAAAATCTTTTTTCTTCTTTTTCCGAAAAAGAACAGGAATTGGACAAGCAATGGATTACCTCCCAAATACTAAACTACTTAAAGATGACATTTATAAAAACAAAATTAAATTAAAAAGCTAGCGCATTAAATAACAAGGGAAATGCTCTTGGCGGTTTTGCCTGCATTACGCAATTCGATATGATGAAAAATTGAGGTTGGGACATTATTTATAGGTAGGATGGCCCATTAGCAGGCCCCCTAAAATGAATCCTTTGAATATAATCAGCATTTTGAATTGAATATTGACCAGGAATCATCAGAAGAATTATTTGTACCAAGATTGATAACTTTCATGAAATATGAACAAATAACACAAATGATTTATTAATTCTCATATTAAGTTGTGAAACATAATCAAAGTCTACTGACCTAAAATGAACTTTGATCTTGACTCTGTGAACTATAATTTGTGTCATATGATTTGTGATACTTGATTACCCTTGGGTAAAAGTTTCATGGAATTTGAACAAAAACTTTTGAAATTATGCTAAAAATTCAAAATCTTGATGTTGATGCCACAACATAGTCTAAGTTTGTTGTCCTGAAATGACCTTTGACTTTGACTTAGTGACCTTAAATTCTACATACATGATTGGGAATACCTGATAACCCTTTTGTCTAAGTTTCATCGAATAACAACTTATACTTGCAAAATTATATTAAAAATTTAAAAACTTAACATAAGTAATAGATATTGACACCGCCGGCGCCGGAAAAGCGGCGACTATGTCTTGCTTTTATTATGCAGGCGAGATGCATAAATATATATGATATAAAAGTTTCACATGAATAAAAGAACAACCATGAAGGAAGAACAACATTTAAGTAAAAACCTAATTAAATGAAAATAACAGACATAGATATATGATATAAAAAGTGTCATTTGAATCAATAGGAATAGGGGAAGAGTAAAATGCGGTAGGATGAGTAAAGAAAAGTAAATGAGAGAAAGAATGTGAGAAAAGGAAGAGTATCCCAATAACGAAATAAAAAAATATGCACCGAGATGTAATATTCACATGCATGGAGTAGAGGTTTGATTATCTTAGATGGAAAGAGTGATGCAGAAGTAAAGAAATGAGTTGCACTTGCAAAGGAGTCATTTACCAAAAATGGGAAATGTGCTACAAAATCAAAACTTAACAAGATGGAACTTCGACTGCGCGCAGTCGAAAATGATGCCTCCGTCATAGAGTAATTTTACAAACCAAAACAGAAGCAATTTTTCAAATTCAAGTTCGATTGTTATCATTGACAGGTTCTCAGAATATTGTGATTACAAGCTATTTCTCATGTACATGTATGACCCTTTGATCTTTGACCTCATTACCCCAATATCTAATCAGTTCATTGCTTCAGCAAAATACATACATGTCCTTAGTTTAATGGTAATCTGTCCATCTGTTCTAATGATAATGTGATCACAAGCTATGTTTTGCATACATAATGAGCCCTGTGACCTATGACCTTTGACCTTGTGAACCCAAAATCTAATCAATTAATTGGCTTTGCAAGATACATTCATGGCCTAAGTAGGCTTGGAATCCATCAATCAGTTCTTGAGATAACACGATCACAAGCTATTTTTTGCATACATAATGAGCCCTGTGACCTTTGACCTTGTGACCCAAAAGTCTAATCAATTTATTGGCTCTGCAAGTTACATTCATGACCAAAGTTTGGCAGGAATCCATCAGTCGGTTCTTGAGATAACGCGATCACGGGACAGACATACGGACAATTCGAAAACATAATGCCTCCGGCTACTTCGTAACAGAGGCATAAAAATGACCATCATGATCCGGATACTGAAGTGCTATGTATGGTCCATCCTCCTGTAAGGCTGCCAGAGCTGGATGTTAAATTAATCCTTGGACAGCAGAATTCATGCAGCAGAAATGTGGTTCTTAAGAAGAATACTTAGAATACCATGAATTGACAGGATACCAAACATAGAAGTGCTAAATAAGGCATGTGTCGATAGACCCCCCCCCCCCTCTTAACATCATAAGGAACAGACAAATTCGGTTATTTGGGTATACTATGAGAAGAGAAGGCACAGGAAAAATTGTGGGAAAGAGAAACAGCGCATCAATTACATGGATGAGTTCATTGGGCTGACTGGTAACAGAAGCAACAACACCTTACAAAGAACCAGAGATATAAGTAGATGGAGAGCTTTGATCGCCAATGTCTGGAACAGACGAGGCACCTAGCGAGCAAAGCAAACATGTCAATGTGAGTTAACTGTGTGTGTGAGAGAGAGAGTGATAGAGAATATCAAAGTTGGGGGAAGTGTATTAAATATTTGAAACAAAGTAATGAAACAACATAATGGCAGGCTATGCACTGCAAAATAAAAATAATTATATGAAACCTATAGAGAAAAACCACCTGCCTATAAAGACCACTTTCCTTACCTCCCTTGGGAAGTCTAGGTTTTGGTTGTATTTACTTGATTTACCTTCTTTAAAATCGGGATCAAATCGAAAAGCAACGTTGTCCAGAGTTCCATAGATAACCCCTCCGTTTGCCTCAAGATAACTGACTCCAAACGGCCACTTGTTTGCTCTCTGTGATGATTGGAATGAAATGATAATGAAAAACAATAATGATAATGATACAATAATTATACTTTGACCTTCGGGTCTCTCCTTCAAGTATAATTGATTGGGGGGTGTGCAGCTGGGCCACTACACCACAATACACCTACAATAAAGCAATTTTACAAACCAGAACAGAAGAAATTTTTCAAATTCAAGTTCAATTGTAATCCATTAACAGGTTCTCAGAATATCGGGATTACAAGCAATTTCTCATATACATATATGACCCTTTGATCTTTGACCTCATGACCCTAAAATCTACTCAGTTCATTGCATGGGTCTGCAAGATACATACATAATCTAAGTTTGGCAGGAATCCATCAATCTGTTCTAATGATAATGCGATCACAAGCTATTTTAGCATACATTATGAGCTGCATGACCTTTGACCTTGACCTCATGACCCAAGAATCTACTCAGTTCATTGGCTCTGCAAGATACATACATGACCTAAGTTTGGCAGGAATCCATCAATCAATTCTTGAGATAACGCGATCACGAGCTGTTTTTGCATACATAATGAGCCCTGTGACCTTTGACCTTTGACCTCGTGACCCCAAAATCTAATCAGTTCATCGGCTCTGCAAGATACATACATGACCAAAGTTTGGCAGGAATCCATCAATCGGTTCTTCAGATAATGCGATCACAAGAACGGGACGTACGGACGGACGGACGGTACGTACAGACGTACGAACAACCCAAAAACATAATGCCTCCGGCTACTTCGTAACGGAGGCATAAAAAGCCTGGACAATTGGCGTACACGCAGAGGTCGGGTGACCTGGGTAGGACTGTTGGTTTATCACCCTATGAAACGTACCCCTCTTCCTGTACAACTGAAACTTTGACGTGTAAGGCTTGATTAAAACCCAACCCTAATCTCAGGAACAATGTTACATACGGCTAACAATTCTTTCACCTGTGAAAAATACCTCTGTATCTCCATGAGAAAATGCACATCTAAGAGGTTAGACCTCATGAAATCCTCTCTTAGGTACATGGAGCTTAGCGAGATGTAGTGGAATGAAAAGACATGTCCAAAACGCAAACTGCATAATTGTAAAAGATCATATGTTCATCACACAGAGGTAAAACCATGTTTTTAGAGTATAGAGCTGGTGAATGCATATAACATCTCGATTAAGCTCAATGTTAGCTAAACTTTTATTCAGATATGTCAATAAAGAACTTTTAATTAACAAACATCACCAACTACCGTATTTGCCGGCGTATAGGCCGCAGTATTTTAGGAAGAGAAAATATCAAAAAGTCGGGGTGCGGCCTATGCGGCGAAAGAGTAAAAAATGTTTTTTTTTTTTTTTCTTCTTTCGATTTATGGCGCTATGCCTGGCAATGTCTCCCAGCTCAGTAATCAGTGTGTTGACTCACCACTCGGAAACTACAACAACACTAAAATGTGTCTGTCATCTTGGTTTGAAAGTAATCTTTCTAATAAATCTCAATATGTAGTTTATAATAATAATTCCTCAATGTTTTTTATATAACAAATGGTGTACCACAAGGTTCTATCCTAGGACCTGATATCGATTTTGATTTATCATTATCGATTTACCATTTACTATTTACTATTGTTTTTAATTCACATTAATGATCTTACACATTCTTCTAAAAAACGACATTGTTACTATTATTTGTGACAAGTTTACAAGCACAAATCAGCGCCTTTAACTGCACCTCGATGTTAAATGAAGGTCCTTCCCCGCGTGGGTTTTCGGCAACAAAACAAAAAACGATTTTTTTTTTTTTTTTTTTTTAAATGTCAAAATCGGGGGTGTGGCCTATACGGCGCTGCGGCCTTATCGCCGGCAAATACGGTATGTACAAACTTGTACAAGCTTTCAAAGCAATGTCAACCACTCTTTCTCAGTACATCTCCTTACTCTTTCAGCACCAGAAGACATCATATTCACTTCAATCTACTTTGGCTTCTTCCCTTTTCATTCCCAAATCTAGAAAACAGACTTGCTTCAAATCCTTTCAAATTGGTGCCGTACGTCTTTGGAATCAACTCCTTGCATTTCTAAGAAATAGTACTTCACTTCACTGCTTCAAAATTCATCTGAATACATACTTCTACAATTCTTCCTCATGTTTTGATTGACTAACGGAAAGCGCCTTGTATCCTCTGGAAAATGCACTACGGGTATATATATCTGATTATTATTATTTTGATCGTCGTCTTTATGCATTTTGCGTTCCAGACTTTAGACCTAACCCTCATGGGTTTTACTCTGTGTAACATACCTGTGTTTCGTCAACCGAATCTACCTCCAATTCAATCTGCCTTGTGATCAAGACCTCATTTGCATCGATGCTAGCTTCATAGATTGTATTATTATCTGAAAAGAAGATGGGGGAATCAATTTCAAATGCATTGTTCTAAAGTTTTCTACATGTCTAATTTTTGGTAATACAAAACAAATTATTAAAAAAAAGATATCTAACAAAACAATAATAAATTTGATTGGAAAATTTCTGGTTGTAATTTACATTATAAAGAAATTCAGTCATATAAAGATAGTAAAAGAAACGTACATGTAGGTGGAGGAGTCTATTAAAAACAATTACTAGTATTTTCATAGACCAATACGAACAGTGGCAAACTAGTACCGGTAGTCCCTTTTTGTTACATTTGTAGACCAGAGCCGTTAAAGACATAACAGAAGGATTGAGTGTGTATTATACAAACTCTGCATACCCATGAAGCAGTTTTATTCTAGAATAAACAAGAAGCCATTGGTTAAATTACCCCCATTGTTTTGTGTAAAACTCCACAGTAGGTAAATGAGTGACTGTGCAGGAAGGAAGAGGAAGCAACCGAAGTTTCGACCCTCATGTATTCATGTAGCGGTATTTTGTGCTACTAGGTTTCACCAAGCAACTTTTAAAACAACCAACTTGCATGGCCTGTTGCTAGCACAGAACTTACTGGTGCCGACGTAGACTAGGATGGAGTTGGATGATTCATTGAATACTGCCAGCTGTTGGCCACGGATGCCCTCAAACACAGCAAGGGCTTCATCGGTTGCGCGGCTGTAATCATTGCACATTGTGTCCAGGCCGCAATTCGGTGCATTGGTGTTCAGCAAAGTATAATCCTCCAGATAGTTATATGCATCAACATGGAATGGTGTTGAGCACTGCAGTAAGAAATATATAACCAGAACGTCAATGATGTAGCGCTCATCCGCATCTCGCAACAACAAATATCGTAAATTTTATGTGGTACACTTTTGAACTGGTCAAGAAAATAAAAATTTGATGCCCTGGAAGGGACATAATTTCATTTGTCTGTACAAGATTAAATAGACACTAAAGGAAATGGAATGAAAATTGGTTGAAAAATATATGGTTTTATGACAAGCAGGACTCGAACTTAGTAAGAGATAAATGTAAACATACTCACCTTTTATTATGATGAGAAAAGGACAGAGGTATAAATAGTCAGTAAATTGTCAACAGTCAAATATGGCAAAATAACAATTTTGTAAGGGACAAAAACAAGTTAGTGTGAGAAAATTGTTAAAATATTTAAACAAATTGAAGAATTAGGAGGTAACAAGATAGTGAAAACAATGCATGCATAATACTGATGAATTAAAATATTCTTTTTGTTTTTTCTGGAATAAATTTGCATAAATTACCATAATTAATTAATGAAGAAAAATTTCTAAATTCTGCGTAGAGGTACATGTATAGTGTTCCAAATTTAGCTCAATGATATAAAGCAAATCAAATCAAAAATTGGTCGAGAAATGAAGGAGAAGCCTTTTTTGTGATTTCGAATAAATTTGCAGAAATTAGCATAGATAATGAATTTCACGATTCTGTGTAGAATTTTTAAATCCCCCTCCTAGCCCTATCATATAAAACAATCAGAATCAAAATCGGTTGAAGAATAAAGAAGAAGCATTTTGAAAACTGTGGACGGACGGACGGACTGACGACGAACGCCACGCCATGGCATATGCTCATCGGGCCCTTCGGGCCGGATGAGCTAAAAACGATAAAACATGTATAACAATAATAATTCTTAGTAGTAGTAGTAGAACAAGTACAGAAGTTACTGTAGTAGTAATACAGTAGTAGTATCAGGAGGAGTAGTGGTAGTAGTAGCAGTATAGTAGTAGTAGCTAGTAGTAGTAGTCATGGGTGTCGATCCGTAACTGATACCTATTCATCAGGGGGGGATGATCTATTCATTCATCCCCCCCTGATGAATAGGTATTACGTAAGGATCGACACCCATGGTAGTAGTAGTAGTATTTGTAGTAGTGGTGGTGGTGGTGGTGGTGGTGGTGATAGTGGTGGTGGTGGTGGTGGGGTGGTGGTGGTGGTGGGGGTGGTGGTGGTGGTGGTGGTGGTGGTGGTGGTGGTGGTGGTGGTAGTAGTAGTAGTAGTAGTAGTAGTAGTAGTAGTAGTAGTAGTAGTAGTAGTAGTAGTAGTAGTAGTAGCAGTAGTATAAAGTAGTGGAAGCATTTAGTAGTGGTAGTATTAGTAGTAACAGCAGGAGAAATAGTATAGATGTAGCCGTCATGTAAATGTATGTTTGGCTCCCATTTTATCATCCTAATTACAGCCAACAGGTCAAAAATTAAAGGGCAAGTGCGGCCCATTTGGAAGGTGAATTGAATAAACAAAACAAAACAAAACAAAACAAGCAAAACAGTGATGGTTTCATGAAAATTGGATGAAAAAGTTATGGAATTTTTCAATTTCACATAATTTCATGAAACGGTGATACCCTGTATGTATCACACAGGCTGTATGCAAATTAGCGAGTTTATAGTGTCATCCCTCCCTTTTCGCTATATTACAGCCAACAGGTCAAAAATTAAAGGGCAAGTGCGGCCCATTTGGAAGGTGAATTGAATAAACAAAACAAAATAAGCAAAACAGTGATGGTTTCATGAAAATTGGATGAAAAAGTTATGGAATTTTTCAATTTCATATAATTTCATGAAACGGTGATATGTATCACGCAGGCTGTATGCAAATTAGCGAGTTTATAGTGTCATCCCTCCCTTTTCGCTATATTTCTTTCTACATAAAATAAACAAATATATCACTTTTTTGCTCTGGAAATGTAAAACATGACATGAATCCTTATGGAATATGTGCAATATCACCACTAACTTGTAACTTATTGTAATATAGATCCTCTCAAACCGGCGCTTTTTCAGGACTACACTCACTCAAGAAAGAAAGATGACCGAGAGTCCATTTCAGGACTCCCCAATCCTCCCTCTCTCTCACATGGTGCAACCACAATGACTGAAAAGTGATTTTAAGAAAATACATAGGAAATAGTGAGGGTATGACATAATTTTTCGCTAATTTGCATGCAGTCTGTGTGATACATATCAAATACAAATCATACAAAACTTTAAAATTCACAAACTCTCTGATATCTTATCCAATCTTGATGAAACTTCCACTTTTTTTGTTGGGTTTATTTCTCTCTTTTTATTTAATTCAACTTGCAAATGGAGACTTGCACTTTAACCCTATTTAGCCCGGGCTATTTTGAAACTGCATAGCCCGGGGGGGGGGGGGGGGGGGGGGGGCTTCTAAGGCCCCCCCCCCCCCCATATGATCTCGGCCGTGAAACGCAGATCGGCGCGAAAATTTGCATACATGTCAAGTGAAGTGTAAAAATTACTATGGTAATTTCGATTTTTTTTGAAAAATTCACTCATTTGCATATTTATGGTAATTTATGCAAATAAGGTCAAAAAATTCACATTTTTGCCCAAAAATCAGACATTATTCATATTTAAGCATTCTTTCTCACTACATATATTTGTTAGACCATTTGGAATAATAATACAACAGGGTTATTCCTTATGTTATCTATTGTTTTGATAATTTCTTATGTATTTCTTTGTTTTTTTTAACTTACATGTATGTATTTTATTGTTTTTGTTGTTTTATTTCATTTCCAACTATAATTCAACTATTTTGATCACTCGCATACGAAAGTGGTATGCGTGACAGCACCTCAAAAATGGACCCTAAATGGCATAAACAGTGTAGAAAATTGCCTTTCATAATTAAAATCTTACATATAAATATTTATTTCCTGCATAAATATCCTCAATACCTTATCTCTCTAATCCAAAACTACACTCCTGCAAGACCTCTACGCTCATCCACTTCCAATTTTCTTGTGACCCCCAAAATTACCAAAACGTGGGGGGAAAGATCATTTGCATACTCTAGTCCTAAATTATGGAATGGCCTTCCTGAAGACATCAAAAAATGTTTATCCTCTGATTCTTTCAAAACTCATCTCAAAACATTTCTTTTCAAGTCTTGATCTTTTTTCCTGTTTACACGCGCCTTGAGCACTCCACAGAGTGGATTTGGCGCGATATAAGTTACATTATTATTATTATTATTATTAAAAAATTTGTTGGCTTTTGATTGGTTGAGAGCTCGTCACATGAGAGCTCGTCACATATTTTGAATCTTTTTAGATAAAAATGGAAAAAATTTTGTTCTAAATTTTGTATTTTTCATTTTGTATTTTTTAAATAAATTGTTGATGCAGGATATAAAACAAATATACCATGCCTTCTATTCGAGGTACTGATTAAAACTATGGGCCTCGGTGACTCCAAAAGTACCATTTGCTTCGGGGCCGCGCCCCTCAGCAAATAGTACTTTTGGAGTCACCTCTTGCGCAGAGTTTTAACCAGAACCTTTCAAGACAGTATATATTTGTATAATATCAGAATACATACAGGACTTTTACTTTCATGGGCCCCTTAATCCCCACTTTCACCAAGCTAATAGTGTCATGTTAATTTTCACACTGAGGCGTAATAGATACACAGAAGTAACAGTGTTGCTCCTTTAATTTGAAGTAGCTCTACTGCTACCTTGGAGTACCTGTGCAGGTACTTCAATCAGAGTAGCTGTGTAGGAACTCCGAGGTAACAGAGGAGCCACTTTAAAGGAGCAGCACTAAAATTTCTGTGCAGGTACCATGCAGTGCCGGCCATAGTAAAATTGGTAATTCAAAGTCTTGGCGTAGAGACTAGAAAAATCAAGGGAAAAATATCTCTTTGAAGGAACTAATTTTAGAGAGACATGGGTAGTATACACGCAAATAAATGTCGGCGCTTGCATGGCCGAAAAGTGACCCTAAACGTTGAACTTGAAGTTGAAAAAAAGCCTTACCTAAACGTTGAAACTTAACGTGCAAAAAGCATCCTTTTAGTCCGGCAGCCAAATCCAGATTATTGGCCTAACCTTGTTTTATGGTCTATAGTTTTTTTTTCAATGGATTTTGATTGCTTAGACCTTCTATTTCAAGAATCCGATTGCTGACACTCTGTCAGCCTTGAGCAATTTAAGATATATGACGTCATACAAAATGGCCGCCAAAGTACATGATTTTCCTTTAAAAATGAATAATAAATATATAATAAGGATTTTTTCTTCAATTTTTGGCAGCCAAATGTCTGTATCTCTCTAGGACCATCACTAAAAATATGTTTCGTGGTGTTGCATGGCCAGAGATGACCAGCTTATTTGCATATTTTGAAATAGAGCCCTCTATAAACATATTAATTTGAATAAAATATGTGTGCCAGCCAAATGCCAATTTCTTAAATCTATGTCACGTTGAAATCATATTAAATGCTTTTTTGGGGAAACGATTGCAGTTGTGCTGCATTAATCTTTTATCGTGTTTGGTACAAATTTAGATAGGGTAGGTGTGGGGAATGGAAGACCCTTCAGCACATTTGCATAATTTACATAAACATGAACAATGTTATACATACAGACATTTTTGTATTCTCTTTAGTATTTTTTCTCTTTATTTGGTAACGAAATTGTGGTGATGATGTAACTGATTAATAAGATAACAATGATTAATGACGTCATCACCAAAGGTCTCTCATTACCTACATGTGTAGGTAATAAGGGACAGTTACAAATCAAGACATTTTAAATACAATTTGAATGAAAATGGGATTGTTATAGTTAGTTCAAACACTTTTTGAATGATATACATGCAGCCAATGAACTTACTGTAATTTTGAAACGATTTTAAAACAATGGGGCCCAAAATATTTCTGTAGTTTTTTGTTTACCGTAATAAAGGTGCTCTCAAATATGTTAAAATACTTTCAGAATAATGTTCTGGCAATATGACTTTTACATTTATCAAACTCACAGCATAGAAACAACTTCTTAAAATTAAATGCATTCAAATTAGAACGGTGACACGTACCACCAAATATCTTTCATGATAGTGCCTTTCAACATGAAATGAACAACTGGGGAGAAGTAGGCCCCCATCCTGGACCTGGTGTCCCCCATTACCTACACACATTTCTGATCAGACACCATTCATAATGTTAATTGCAACACCCATTCACAACACACAGTGGCCATAAACTTTCTGTGATGGTTGGCACATTTCATAAACTTCCTTTTAAAACTATTTTTTTAAGGGCCACCCCTAAATATCTGCATACACCACAACATTCAGTGAAAATTGTGTTTTTATATCAGAGCAAAATTTTACGATCAAAATTGCTTATCTTGGTCAATTTTGCCAATTTTCTCGTAGAGAGAACGCACTGTAGTCTTCGAAATGAATTGGATATATGCAGTAGTGTTATTGAAGGCCACATATGTCGTTATATCAATATTGGATCCAACACGGACAGACAGTGATGGGTTCAAGCTTGGTGGTCTCCAATTCCCTACACCTACCCTACATATGTCAAGAAAAAAATGGCTATGAAATAATTTATTTTTCAACAAATCGGTGAGAAGTGGTTTTACTGCACACATTATTATTCAATTAATAGGCTTTATTTAGACCAGCATTGCTCCAACGTCAGTGAATGTGGATAAAGCAGTTGACATCTATATTAGACAGATGCATGATTTTCAAAAGAAATTACCTGGTGGATTCTAAGTCACAATTTCCAAGAATGTTCAAACCGTGGCAGCCATGAAGAAGTCATTGTTGGGGTACGAAAGTCTATGAAAAGTTGATCTACTCCAGAGTAATAGGACTGCAGACAAGTTCAAGAGAGGTCAATGTCAAGGACATTTTGTCATAAGAGCTTTCACCAGTCCCAACAGCACTTTTTGATGATTCTGGAAACGAGCACTCCCATGTCAAAGACGGACTTATAGAATTTGACAAAAGTTGAGATGTCAGCCAGGCATGAGACACTGGAACAACCTTGTACAGTCATTGATGGTTGTGCTCTGCTGTGGATGAAAATCTGATGATGTTTGCTTGGTGTTTGACAGATCCGAGAGTATTTAGAGGTCATAACGGGTCGAGAGTCTTCCAACTGAGTCCCGCGTCACTGCTGCCCTCCAAGAAACTATCTCTTACTGTTCGTCGTCGTCGTCGTTGTCATATAGATCATGGCTCACCCTTGTGACCCGTTCGATGAGACCTTTTGATCGGCATCTATCTCCTGCAATCCGGTAGAGTGTCTTTAGTATTTAGAGGGTGGCTAGTGATTTCCCTAAGGTCGTCAGTCCATCTGAGCTTGAGTCTTCCTTTGTTACGTGTTTCTTCAAAGGTACCTTGAATGATAATTTGTCAAGGTTGTCTCCTGATCTTTTAGAAGATCAGCTGCTAACGTGACCAAACTATTGTAGCTTGTACTTGTCAATCCTGGTAGCAAGTGGCGGTTGATCTCCGATGATGGACATTAATTGTGTACATTGGTGTTGTAATCTCTTCATGATATCCCAAGTAGCTTCCTCCAATACCACATTTCAAAGGCAGATTGCCGAGCTTCCACCCTCCTTGACAATCATTGACCCACGAACATTATATAAACTTGTCCACTTGATCAACTTCTTCTCCATCAACCACCATGCTCTGTTGCTTTTAGTTAATTTCTACCAATCATGATCTTGGTCTTTTTCACATTGAGGTAGGGTCCAAATTATTCACTTGCATCCTTCACTCTTTTTTAAGGAGTTCTAGTAGTTCTTCTGATGTTCTTGTTATAAGTGTTGTCAGTGGCATACTGAGCAAAAACACTTAGAGGGGCAGAAAAACAATCTGCATCACCACCACTCATACATGTTACATGCAGGCCCCGCGGAACTTTTTTTTTAAAGCGGGGTGGGGGGGGGGGATTGAAGTATTTACGATCAGGAAGAGAGGAGCGCAAATTGGCGTGGTGTTCAAGGGGCACAGCCCCCGGAAGCTCAAGGTTTCAGGCATCTATTAACTGTAAGATGAACATATTTTGATACCTCATTTCACCTCGGGTCACTTTCTTTCTTTCTTTCTAGTTCTCTTTAACATACTTTATACAAAAAGTGAGAGGGGCTCGAGTCCCCTGAGCCCCGCTGTTCTGCGGACCCTGACATGTAGGCTTTTAAATAAGCATATTTTTTGCTTGACTGTGGATTTACTAAAAAGTGAGAAAAACCCAGGAAAATCATGTCATTTCAGCAACATTTGTAAATCACTGGTATCGAATATAAAAAAAAAAACAGTTTGAATTTTGTTTGGGGGTTCAACTGTCCCCAACCCCCCCCCCCCATACCCTTCCCAATTAATACGCCAGAGAGTGTTGTATTGTCGGCGTATCTTAGGTTGGTGATCGTTCGTCCACCAACAGAAACTTGACCATAAAATGCCTTTCTCATGATGAATTCAGCATAGATGTTGAAAATTTATGGTGATAGGTTGCAGCCTTGACGGACAACTTGACCAATAGTGAACCTTTCGGTGTCGCCATTCTCTGCTCTTACTGTTGCTTCTTGGTATTGGTAGAGCGACTGGATGAGTTGAATTATATGTGCTGGAAAGCCCATCTAGCTCATAATCTTCCATAGGCGTTTATGTTGTACGCAGTCAAAAGCTTTGGAAAGATAAAGCTAGGGAGAGAAGTTGTTGAAACATGTCTCTAGTGTTGCTAACTTCACTATCTTTTCATGACAACAAACTACAGTTGATCGACATCATAATTATATGCGCGAGTCTGCAGGATGGTTGGGTGCTCAGAAATACGCAAAAGCACAAGCAGGCCTTTACCGTCAAGATGAGGTTCTTGTTGAAGTGATTCCAGGCAGTGATGTCATGCCAAGGAAAGGTCTGTCCACAACATAGTTATGATGAAGCAGGCAACATCAAAGAACAGCAAGCGATTGGAATTGATGCTAATGAGAAGATGTATGTTAGGGTCCTAGTGGATGACACAGACGTCTACGTACTACTTTTGCATCATTATCTACATGACGGACTTATAAAACGCCAATTACCATGGAGACGCCCCTTCACAAATCGAACTGTTATTGATGTTCCTGTCAATGTAGACAAGTTAGGAGATATCATTCCATCAATGTTGGCAGGACATGCGTTGACGGGATGCGACACTCTTGGGGCATACTTTGGCATTGGATAGGGTACAATGCTGAAAGTGATGAAGCAGAAGATTCGACTCCCTTAGGACTGAGTTGGCAATGTTGATGCAGCATGGTCATATGTCATCACTCAACCTACTCAATACTTTGCTTCATGTTATGGACAGTCAACAACAAACTGAATGTCAGAGGCTCGTATCAACGTGTGGCTATCAAGGGTCCGAAGACTAGGAGCTCCAAATACCCCCAAACCTTGCCTCACTACCTCAAACTACTGAAGCGTTTGTAGAAAACGTTAAGAGAACTCATTTGCAAACATGCGTGTGGAAGCACGCATTACAGTCACGACCTTACTTTGCAGAATTAAGTGTTAAATGACACCCTCTTCCACATGGAATATTTTAGGGTTCCCAACACTTTAGAGAGCTTTTAAACAAATTTCAAGATTTTGAAGCAAAATAAACGGATATAGTCCTGTTTCGTAGTGGTAGTTCGTAATTTCAGGTTAATTTAAAAGAATCTAGTACCTTAGAATACAAATCTAGTTTCTTAACGCTGTCATTGAAAATGGGCATTTATCACCATATGCCACCTCATATCTATGGGACAGAGAGCATAAAATTCAACCGTGTTTTGTTCGAGTATCAAATTACAAAATAAAAATAAATGTGCAGCACAATCTTTACTCACTGTATTCAGTGCATCTGACTCATGACATATGATAATCTCATGTTAGAAATTGGTATTTGGCCATCATTTTGACCTATGCAAGTTAATGTGTCTATAGAGGGCGCCATTCCGAATTATGCAAATTTGCATATCATTTGTGATCATACAGCATTGCAATTTTTATTTAGTGATGATTCTAGAAAAAAATCAAGATATTTGACTGCCATTTAATGTAGTAAAATGCTGTTAAAACTTTTTATATCATTAATTTTGGTTAAAAAGGGGATTTTGGCGGCCATTTTGTATGACGTCACATATCTCAAATTGCTCAATGCTGACAGAGTGTCAGCAATCGAATTCTTCAAATTGATGGTCTAAGGAACTATAATCCGAAGAAAAAAAAACTATAGACCCTAAAACAAGGTATATCGAGATGGCTGCCGGACTATTTTTTCTAAAAACTTCGACAACGCCACAAGGCCAAAAATCTACCCTTTTTCTATGTTTTTTATGACGAGCATGCCTACCACTTTGGTATGCGAGTGACCCCCCCCCCCCCCCCCCCCCCGGGGTAAATTTTTCTTAAACCAAATATTTTATTCATTTCGCCTCAAGCTTACACTCCTACTGTCCTCTGTATCCTCTGCAAGTTTAGTCACACTCTGCCACAGCGTTGTTGAGGATGCCTGACCTCTGCGATTGTCTTCTTTGAACAAGACATCAATTTCGTCCATGTTGTACCGACAAATTGCAGTAGAAGATGACCCAGCACTGCAGGGATTACCAGATATTAAAGGAAAATAGGGATATGTGAATGTTCATTACATGTATGTAGTACAGTGAACATGAGAAGCGGTGTATACTGCAAGGTTTTTTAATCATCGAAATGATACAAAATTGATTTACGCTAGCTAAATGTCCTATGCACTGCATACATAAATGGGCAAATGGGACTACACATGCATCGAGAGTGACAGTTTGGTCCAAACTTTTTCAGCCATTTCTTGTTAAATTTCAAATATAAGAGCTTTTGAATGGTAATCCTTTACAGGGGACATTTCTCCTGTGATATTCTTCCAAACTAACGTATACAAGAGTGAGAAAGCTCACAAATTATCTTTCAATATTACCAGAACTCAACCTTCTCTTTATAAGCCAAACATGCCCATCTCCTTACCTGGGGGTAGTGAACAATCCATAGATGATATTTTCATCACTAGGAGATGGGACCACATCCTCTGAAAAAAGACCAAAACAAAAAACAACAATGAAACAAACATCATTTAATTACTTATTTATTTATTTAATCATTCATTTGTTTATTTATTGAAACATACACATATCCATCTATAGAGTATTTTTTTTAAATATGATCAGCAAAGCTGTTTTTCATCATGGTCCTGATTAAGGACACACAGCAAATTATAAAAATAATTCAAACAGAACAATACAGAAATTCATAGAGAAACATTACAATGCAACAACAACAAATCACAATATCATACTGAAGATATAACGGATATTAGATAAACCAAAAACATACAAAAACATACAAATCAGTCATCCATAACTTGGGACAAACCAGCAGATGAAGAAGAGAAAAAAGAGGAAGAAGAAGAAGGTCTGGAGAAGTATCAAAGAAATATCAATGGTGACAAGGGGAATTTCTCGCACCTGAAAAGAGGCACTCACCAGAGATGAAAAGGGCACGTATGAGAATGGAAAAGGGGCACTTATTGTTAAGGAAAAAAGGGACCTGTCTGATTTTGATGGTGGCAATTATTAGGGATGAAAAAGGGGCATTTATGAGAAGGAAAAGGGGCCTGTATCAAAATAACAGCAGCACTCGTCAAAAAGAAAAGGAGCACTTGCATAGCAAGGGGGCAATTTTTACCCAGGAAAAGGGGCACTTGTCGAATTAAAACGTGTACCTATCAGATTTGAATAGCAGCAATTTTCAGAGGTTCAAGGGGGCATTCATCAGATTATAAAAGGGGCATTAATCAGAGGTGAAAAGGGAAATTCATGAGAGAGTGAAGGGGATCTTATGAAAGAAGTGGGGGAGGGGGTGGACTTATCAAAAGTAAAAGGGCACTTATTAGAAGGGGAAGGAGCAGTTTTTACAAATGGAAACGGGGCACTTGTCCTATGTAAAAAAAAAAGGGGCACTTTGGGGTGTGGGGCCACAGCGCCCCCCCCCCACCCAGACTGAATGGAATGTAAACACATGCAAAGGAATACGAACATATAAACTTCAAATGCGGTATAAGTTACCGGTACCTAAACATATGACAAAGACAAGTTTTAATATGGCAATATTTCACCTCTATCTATCATCTATCTACCGAAGGTAATAACTTAATCTGATTTCATTGAAACTTCATTACCGGTATCTAGAATCCTGCTGAATATACATAAAAATGTTTGCAATCATTTTGCTCTTACGATGGAAATGAGCGATTACCCAGCATCTGATATGAACACAGAAAATGCAAAAAATGAAGGAAAAATGATAATAGCCTTGTTGAAGGCCTGAGTAGTAACACAATGCATTTCGTGTGACTCATGATGATGAAGATCATCATGATGATGATGAAGACAATGCTGGTGCTGATGCTGATGATAATGAAGATGATGAAGATGATGACATGTACATGTTTATGTTACATACATGTACAGGATATACGTTGGAGAAAAGTCTACTGGGTCATCCCACTCTTTTTTTACATTAGTCATCAGTGGGAAGAGATTTATTAAACATACTTACGGATTTCATTGAAGATGAAGGGGAAATCAGCACCAACAGAACACATCAAGCGTGTTTTAAGAAATGTAGTGAATTCATCACGTAAGGGATTTGTTACTCCTCCGGGATCATTCTATGGAAAAAAGAAGAGGAGAGCATTATCATAGCTGCCAACATCTGAAATTTTCAATTAGTAATGAGAGTGACATGGCAATTACTTGCATGCCTGGCAATTACTCGCATGACTTGTAATTACTCTCATCCACGCAAAGTGCAAAGCACTTGGGCAGGGGTCCAGGACCTGCTGCCTCTCAAACTTGCAAACCATCAAGTCAAAGTAGATCTAAGCATCACCTGGAATGAAAAATCATAACAAAATACGAAAACAACAGCAATATGATATTTAATATTCAAAATGTGTTTAGTAGAGGGGAAAGCAAGTTTCACAATCACAGCAGGCATAGGCATGTGCTGCTAAACACAGCCTGCTTCATCCCCAAAATTAAGACGTGATCATATCTCAGTCACTTTAAAATTAAGACACATCATGAAACAAATAACTGTTTAAGTCAAATGATACCTTGCTTGAAAAATATTCCTATACAATATATCCAAGAGCTGCCACAGGATTAAAGAAGAAGAAGAAGAATAATCCTGCACAACTTTTATAACGCAACATCCCCCGAGTTAGAATTTCCTGCAACTTATAACAGTACCCAAACATAGACAAAAATAACCATCTGATATGGGTAATACTTTAATAAAACTATCTATCACAATATGAAATAAAAAATGAGAGTAACCAGGCTTTTTGAAGATATGTGCTTTATTCAAATACAACAATAAAAAAAAACATTTCCTACAATTTTACGTGGGTGCATGCATTTTTAAGTTTACTGTCCTCGCATTGCTGTTTGGATGGTAAATGTTGAAGTCTGCCCCCTTAAGGGGCATATACCCTATTTGAACAACTCAAAGGGATAGTTGAGTTTTGTTGCAGAGGGTGCTACACAAAATATTTTTTGTGAGATAATGAAAAACTGAGTTTCAAATTTGAAAGAACATACAATTTAAATGACAAAATCATCTTTGTTTGATCAAAATTGGTTCAGAGATGGCTGAAATATCCATATATATATATATATAACCATTTCTAATACTTGTGGAGCACCACAAATATTCAATGATTTTGAACCAGCCGTTGAAAAACCATATAGCCAGACCTGCCAACCTCTGGAGTTCAAAAACTGTATTCTTTAATCCCAAAAGTTGTATTTTACTGACAAAAGTTGTATTCTTAAAAATACACATGGATTGTTATGCGAATCAATACCTCTTACAGTTCCTACCTACAGGAAGAAATTTTTGTATGGATCATTGGTTGAATATGCATGATTTCGTCATAACTGGTGTGTTCGATGAACCAATGAACATACCCAAATCGCCGATGTGAGATGCCTGTAGGAATACTTAACAAAACAGAATGAGCATTTTGCCATTGAAAATGCCACAGACACACACAAAATATTAATTATAAAAAAATATCATTAAAAAAAAAAAAAAAAAAACAAAAGGAAAATCGTACTGTCGTATTTGCTTCTAAAAATCGTACTAAATACGACAAAATCGTACTGGTTGGCAGGTCTGTATAGCGCCCTATACTTTTTATTCCAGCCAAGGCTTTTCATGTTAGTTACAATATGCACAACCAGCCGGCCCGTGTATTGATAGCATATGGGAGCGTCATGGCTAGAGCCACAAACCATTTAATCCACAGTCTGGTGACTTATTCAGATATACCAAGGTAAACCACTGAGGGGTTTTTACGATGATGTTAAACGTAATAAGCTTCACATTTCTGTATCTTATAAGATAGAACTAAGTGAATGCATGTAGGAGCTTTCTTGCACACCATTGCCTTTCATTTACATGTAATAAAAGCTGTGGCAGTTTACCCAAGCATATCTGAACAAGCCTTTATCCACTGGATCAATACAGGGCATCACTTACCTTGCAAACTCTAGCAACCCGGGAGTATATGATCTGTCCAATGGTCTCATATTCTATGGCTGTTTCTCGGTAGAAGAAATAGATGAATTCCCCGCGTTCTATTGATCCTACAAAGTTTGTTGGTGCTATGAAGGAAAAATTGTGATTTAATACTTTAGAAAAAACAAAAGTATTCTTTAAAAAAAGTGAATTTGCATGTAAGGTACATGTACATGTACATGTACTATTAGAGTATCCATGCAAAGGCAAAGATCAGTAAATAATGTACTATCACAGCGATCGGTCAAGAAGTGGTAGTTATAACCAAAATACAAGAGCATTTTAGGACGATTTCACTGAATGGAATTTACTCTATTTCCTAAAATTGGAAATTTTAAAAAGAACGAAAAAAAGAGAGACAACTTATATCAGAATTTGATAATTTCTGTGGTGCCGTTGCTAAGGGTATGCAACAGCAGCAAGTGTGTGTGTGTCAGCTGGGGGGGGGGGGGTGGGGGGATGGCAGCAATCTTTATTTCTATTTTTAGCCTGTAGGGCTATATTGTGGATTTGTAACATTACACATATCAGGATAATCCCCCTCCTTGTTTCTCGCTAGATGAATTTGGTTATCAAATAATTTCACTTTCAAATGCCATTTCAATATCATGGTCCAATGGAAATTTGCATTGAGACATAACACTACCTAAACATTATTCATACTCAAATTGTGCAATTATGCAATTATGTATAGAAAGAGTCAAATGTGTTTTCAACATGACCAAGGGATATACAGAGGGGCTTACAGTAATACACAACAAGTTGATGTACCGACAGAAGAGGGACCAAAGAAAATCAGAAAACTTTTGGTACAGCAATTCATTAAAAGGGGTTCTTCTTCTTCTTCTTCTTCTTCTTCTTCTTCTTCTTCTTCTTCTTCTCCTTCTCCTTCTCCTTCTCCTTCTCCTTCTCCTTCTCCTTCTCCTTCTCCTTCTCCTTCTCCTTCTTCTTCTTCTTCTTCTTCTTCTTCTTTACATGTCGACAGACTTGTTAGTCCATATAAAGACACGGAAACGAAGCACGTGGTCATTGATATTGATATTATAATAATAATATTGGATACTTTTTGATAACTACACAAATAATTTACCATTCAAGATGATAAAGGCGATCCAATATTACCCTGGCTCTAGCCAGGCTACAGATTTTGGTGCTCACAGCAATCAAGAAATTCCTTCCTCCCGGTACCCATTTAACAGCTTGGCAGAAGAAACGAGTGGCACACTGGAGGTCGAACCCACGACCTTTACCCCATCAGTCAACTGTTTATACAACTCCACTACGACATTTCTACTTTTAAATAGGATACAAAACATTTTTTTCCCTTCTGAAAACTTACCCTTTAAAATGTTTTCTTGGTTAACATCCGTTTCCGGCTCAGCTGAGGAGACATCACCTACAAAGTTAACTTTAGCTAGAACTTTCTCAACATTGCTAGAGTCTAATCCTCCAAGGAAGTAGTAGTCTGGAGAACCATCTAGAGAAAAAAAAGTTTGAAGAAATATGGTTTTATGCAGAGCTGCCAACCTTGTGCAACCAAAAAAAGGAACCATGATTGCAAAAAAAAAGGAATTTCAAGCAATAAAAAAGGAATTTCAAGCAACAAAAAAAGGAATTAATTAAAATGAAACTTACAACCACGCGCGACACACTTCAAATGCAGAAATGTCCATTCCTCATGCCATTATTTCCATATTAGGACCTATAGTTGATTTACAAGTAGGTATAGTTCTTTGTTGTTGTTTTTTGGTATTATCAGCGTTTCATTCTTTTTGAGAATATTTACGCCTTTCACTTTTTTTTGTTAACTATTGAAGTATAGTGATCAACATTTTAGGGCATTTGATTGATGCGCAAAAAAAGAATATATATATATTTTTTAAACAATTATTTCGAGAAAAAACCTACTACCGTTATTCATTGGGAGAAAAAAACAGAATAATTCCAGGAAAAACGTAATGGTTGTTGGCAGCTCTGTTTTATGTCAAATGTAATCTGTTGATTTTTATATACCATAAATGTTGAATGGAATTGGCTTGAATTGAATACATATTAAATATATTGATAATAATATATCTTGTTTAACCAGGGTAGCCTCATCAATATCAATATTTTACTGCCTGAGGGCCCTGAAATCATATTATTAAAACTGGCTTTAACCAAGAAAATGATGCAATCATGAAAAGGCACTCAAGGATTTGAGGAATTTCTTCCTACCAGCTACCGGTATCCGGGCTGGAGAGTGTCAAATTTAGATGAATGTCTTGCCAAAGGACATTAGTGCTAGCTGCAAAAGGACTCGAACTGCAAAATTTGAGGTCAAGTTCTGTGACATACATGTCGAGTATTCACTAGACCACAACACCTCTACATGTACATTAGAATAAGGAGGGCCAAAGTACGTTGAAATATATTTGTTGTTCCTAACACATTTCATAATAATTTTAGCCTTTACTGTACTGGGCTATTACGAGCTCCTCCAAACCGCTGCCAATCTCAACCATGGCATGACTGATCACCACACAATTTACATTGCACAGCGCTTGTGTTTAACTTTAGGCTTACTGCAATCTCAGGTGTCTAGAAGTGGCGAAAGTCAAATCTGGGTTTCAATTTTAAACGGCGAGTATTCACCATGTTTTATGGCAATGTGCCACATATGGTCATAGGTTCATATAATACATGTAATTGCGGTCAGTCACTTTTGAATAAAACCTAGTACTGAAGGCATTACATGTACGTCAACCTTTAATGTTAAACAAGGGAACCAATCTTGGCGGTCTAGCTTGACTACACAATTTGATATGATCATGATGAAAAATTGAGGTTGGGACATTATTTATAGGCAGGTTGGCCGATTAGCAGGCATCTAAAAATGAAATCCTCTGAATATAATCAGCATTTTGAAGTGAATATTGACGAAGAATCATCAGAAGAATTATTTACAATTATTTGTACCAAGATTGATAACTTTAATGAATAAAATTGATTTATTAATTCTCATATTAAAGATAAAGTTGAATTCTGGTCATGCGATTGCATTGTGAAAGAAACATTGTGAAAGATACATTGTGAAATCAATCAGAAAAGGTTGATCATCTAGCATATAAGTATTGGTGTGTGTACTGCAAGGTAAAAAGGTAAGCTTGCAACGAACGTGTCACGTTCACGTTTTGCGCTGTTTCGTAAAATAGGTGACTCAAATTTAGGAAGTGTAGGGCCTACAATTCGTTGTTTTCCACGATGGTAAAACACGTCTACCAAAACGTGACGTGAGTGTTTAATCAATATTATTTAAATTGCAAGCGCTTGTTACTAAGACAAGTCATGACGTCACCGTAATATGTATGATTTGTGTACAGTATGTACGTACGTACAGTATACATATCGCCTGCGCCTAGCTAGGTAGCTAGCTGACAACGCATGGCGACGATATCGACGAGGACGAGTCCGGCACATCGAACTGTGGCGATCGAGGCTAGCCAGCACTCAGCGAACCGCAGATTATCGATGATACAAAGTGAGAATGTATAAGTACAACTTTTCAGCTGTTGTGATTTCAGCTAGTATAGACTCTGTAATGACATGCAATACTATCTAAGCCAAGTAAGAATGTGTACATGTACTTTCAAAATTGTATTACAAATTCAAAAAACTTAACCTCAGGTTAAGTGTTGATGATGATGCCACAACATAGTCGAAGTTTGTTGACCTGAAATGACCTTTGACCTTGACTTTGTGACTTGAATTTTTTCCCACATGATTGGGAATACTTGATTAACCTTTAGTCCAAGTTTCATTGAATATACTTATCTTTTCAAAATGACATTAAAAATGCAAAACAGTTTCAGATGTTGATGGCAACGCCGCCGTCACCGAAAAAGTGGCGGCTTTGTCTCGCCTTTTGCTACGCAAACGAGACAAAAACTGTGCTTATTGTTCAAAATACATACGCGTATTAAGCGCCTCTCGCAAGTGAAACAGAAACAAAAGTGTTTTTTTACAGGTAATAATTAATTGATGCATTTACAAGTATTTCATTAATGTGATAATGTGGCAGGGGCGGCAATTTCTGTTCATGACCGGGGGGAGACGACATGCAAGGAAAATGTATTCCGTTGGTATCGCCAGTGGCGTAATGTGCAAAAACTTTGGGGGCAGAAAAAAATTATCTGCATGACCACCACTCTTACGTGTTACATGCAGGCCCAGCGGAACGTTTTTCAAAGTGGGGGGGGGGGGGGGGGGGGGTAAAGTATTAACGATCAGATAGAGTGTAGCATAAATTGGCGTGGGGTCTAGGGGCAAAGTTCAGTGGGGGTCAAGAGCAGAGCTCAGAGGTTTTTAGGCATTAAATTAAGGTCAGATGAGCATATTTTGATACCTCATTTGTGACACTGGCAGGCCACTATTCTTTCTTTCTTTCTATTTCTCTTTTTTCAAAAAAAAGGGGGGGGGGGGTAGGGGGAGCTCGAGCCCCCCCCCCCCCTCCCCACCCCGAGTCCCGCCGTTCCGTGGGCCCTGACATGTAGGCTTCTAAACAACCATATTTTTTTCCCCTGACTGTAAATTTGGGAATATTTCATTGTTTAACAAACGCCAAAAAAAGTATAATTTACAGAAGAGTGAGAAAAAATCAAGGAACATCATGTCATTTCAGCAATATTTGTAAATCACTAGTATCAAATTAGAAATAAGCCATGTTTGAATTTTATTTGGGGGAAGGCAACTGCCCCCCAAGCCCCCCTCCCCCTTCAGTTCACTGGGTATCACGGTGATACCAAGGAATACAGATATTTTACAATATTTACTTGTACATTTTAAAGGATATTATGCAAGGGAGCGAGAAAAGTGTGTTGCAGTCTTTAGTCAGTATTTGCTATTCATTTCATTGCACTTTTTCAAATTTTCAAAACAAATTGAGGGGGGGACATGTCTTCCCCCCCCCCCCATCCCCCCGAAATCACCGCCCCTGTAATGTGGTATTTGTATATTATAAATATAAGACAGGTTCAAGAATGTAGCCAATGGCAAACCTATATTAAAGTCACATGTTTGTGCTTTAAATTTTTCCATCGTGCCAGCTATACAATTTTTGTGCAGCGGTATACAAGTTGTGCCCAATGCAGCACTCATGATCCACGCATCTTGATGTGCTCAAAGTTCAGATGCGATGTAATTTATGCACATAATTTCTATGGCAAGGAAATTGATGGTGCGCACACTTAGACTCGCATTGTACATTTACTGTACTGTTTCACGGTGCGCACTCAGAGATGCCAACCTCTTAACACAAAAAAAACAGACTGAATATCCTAAACAAAAAATCAGATTTAGAAGAGAACTAGATGGAATTCGACTGCGCGCAGTCGAAAATGATGCCTCCGTCATAGAGCAATTTTACAAACCAAAACAGAAGAAATTTTTCTAATTCAAGTTCAATTGTAATCCATTGACAGGTTCTCAGAATATCGTGATTACAAGCAATTTCTCATATACATATATGACCCTTTGATTTTTGACCTCATGACCCTAAAATCTACTCAGTTCATTGGCTCTGCAAGATGTCCTGAGTTAAATAGTAATCCATCTGTCAGTTCCAATGAGAATGCGTTCACAAGCTATTTTTGCATACATCATGAGCCCATGACCTTTGACCTTTGACCTTATGAACCAAGAATCTACTCAGTTTATTGGCTCTGCAAGTAACATACATGACCTAATTTTGGCAGGAATCCATCAATCGGTTCTTGAGATAACGCAATCACAAGCTGTTTTTGCATACATAATGTGCGCTGTGGCCTTTGACCTTTGACCTTGTGACCCCAAAATCTAATCAGTTCATTGGCTCTGCAAGTAACATACATGACCTAAGTTTGGCAGCAATCCATCAATCGGTTCGTGAGATAACGCAATCACAAGCTGTTTTTGCATACATAATGTGCGCTGTGGCCTTTGACCTTGTGACCCCAAAATCTAATCAGTTCATTGGCTCTGCAAGTAACATACATGACCAAAGTTTGGCAGGAATCCATCAATCGGTTCTTCAGATAACGCGATCACAAGAACGGGACGTACGTACGTACGGACAACCCGAAAACATAATGCCTCCGGCTACTTCGTAACGGAGGCATAAAAATCAGATTTTCACGAAAACTCGACACTACTACTGGCGCGTTGACCTGGGCCTGTAAAATTTCAGAAAAATGTTATGTTATACTGGTAAGAACGGTCAAGTAAAATGTTTGCTCATTCATTAAAATTTAATGAGATGAAAAATCGTATATTAAGAGTTAATAACGTATTATCGTATTTCACTCTTATTATCGTACTAAATACGATTTAATCATACTGGTTGGCATCTCTGGGCACTGCATGATGTGATGTCATCCAATAAAGCAAATGGCGGCCACCATGATTGTGCGACTCTTGGCTTTTCCATCGAGTTTGTAGTCAATTTCTCAACTTTGTACCCGT